TGTCTGTTATAGCAGAAAAAATTTTTTGCAGATCAGATTATTGTAAAAAAAAGTGGTCAGAGAATCAATAGAAAGAGTTGTACAATTAGCTATGAAAGCTTACATATACTACAAAGTAAATTACTATCTAAAATATAATAAGATATCCTTCTTCAACTATTTTAGACTCACTTGGCTACCTTAAGGCAATATTGTACATGGACGCTGTCCATGCATATTACTTGAATACAGACAAATTTAGACTTTGTCTAATATCTGTGTTTGCCACATGTCTAAACATTTAGATTGTTACCGGATATTGTCTGCACAATATATGGCTGTCCACCAGACATTGTTTACTAGACTTTGTCTGCTGAATATTGTCTAATATTCAAAAATTCAACACAAAATTTGTACATTCTGAAAAATTTTTTGTGCATGCACAGATTCCTGCACTATTTATTTAATCACAAAATACTAACCTTTTATGCATAGAAATAAAAAATATCAATAACAATAATGATAATGAATATTTATAAAACAAATAATAGAATGTATAAAGAAATAAAAATATCGTAAAAAACATCATAATAATATATTAAAAAAATATCGTAGTAACTATATAAAGAACATCGTAATATAAAACATCATAATAATTATATTTTAAAAAAAAGATATCGCACTAATAACTAAAAAAGAACATCATAATAATTGTATAACCTTTATAAAAATTGAATTAAAAATTTTGCAATTTGTAGCTTAAATTTAAGCATGAAAAATAACAGTAAACATAAGAATTGAAAACTCAAGAACCATATCAAAAAAAATCCTGAAATTTAAAACCATCTTCTCTTTGGATAAAAGAATAGGAGTAGTTAGAATATCATGAAATTGATAGAACCTTGCTAATATTTTGTAAATGGTGTAAGGAGGCAAAACATGTTAATATTTTTACTCAGGTAATGATAAAAGTATTTATGTTCAAAATTAATTCCATTAGTTAGGCCGTTTGAATTTAAAAGTTGTTTAAGCAAATATGAAAAAAGGAACATTAAATGAAACTTTAAATTCAAACGGTCTTAAAAATTATCTTTATACTCACTCATAGGTTGTTGGTTTTTTTACTAGAAATAAAGTCCTTCCAGGCTAAATGAAATAAAATAAAAGAATTTAGAAATGGTGAATAGTGTTTATATTCAAAATTAATTCTACTACCTAATAAATCCTCTTTATACTTACTTATTGATTTTGTTTTAATTTTACCAGAAATAAAATCATCTTTGTTATCACTAGCTGAATGAAATAGTATGAAAAAAATGGCAATGGTAAATTAGTGTTTAAGTTCAAAATTAATTCCACTAGTTAATAAATCATCTTTATACTCACTTATGAATTGTTAGTTTTAATTCTACTGAAAATAAAATCATTTTTATCCTCGCCAGCTAAATGAAGTAGTATGAAGGGAATTAGACAATAGGTAAATTGAGCAATTTCTGTGATTATTTAGATTGAACAATGAGATTAAATAGAATCTAAGCCAATAATATATAAAATATAATGTGATTACTGAGATTAAAAGTGATGATTTGATTAGTGATCGTAAAATTGCTTATGAATTGCTTATAAGTTTTTATTTTTTATAAGTAGTAATCCTAACAGGTTAGCTAAAACCAACCTGAATCTGATCAATTTCAAATCATTTTAAGCTTAGCATTAACTGTTTATGAGTATCACTTTGTTATCACCTAATTTCAATAACTAGAAATTTCCGCTCATATATTAAATTCTCATTAGGTCACTGCTGAATAAAAAGCTGAAGTTCAGAAGTTGTCACATGACTTTCACTGGCTTTGTGATAATAAAAAACTTAATGCATGCATCACTACTGCTACATTTTTTATTTTAATTACATATAAAATAAAAAGTTCTAGTATAACTAATAATTGAGCAGTTTTAAATATTACTAATACGAATCGACATTAATAATGATAATATAAATAATTAAGTTGAAAAATCATGTGACTGCTACCTTAATTATTGGTGACGCTAGAACTTTTTATATTAAATATGTTTGTTTTAGCTACAACTGATCGTTCAATACCCTTTAAAATTATGGGTACAATCAAATTAGCTAATTTTAGCAGGAGACTTCAAGAACATAGAATCCAGTAATCATCACATCATGTGAAATCATGCAATGATGTCATTTATTTACTAGCACTAATAAATCAACTGCCTAAACTAACCCTAACACTAACCCTAATTTAGGCCGAGTATTTGATTTTGTGATGTGATAATCACTGGGTTTCTTGTTCCTATTTTAGCAACTATCACAAGTATTTTTTATTTTTTATTTTTGAGATAAAACTATTTTTTTTAATAAAATTTTAATTAAAGTTGATATCGCTAGACTATAACTGATAATTTATGAAGAGGTTATTGAATCGATTCCTATTTGATAGACTGAGCAACATAAAAATATTGGTAATATGGGTTTTTGGATCAGTATTTTGGGCAATCAGGTTGAATGGTATATAAATGACTGAATTTAATGAAAATAGATAGATAAATCACGTAAAAATTGAATTTAAAGAACTTACGTGAGAACAAAATTCATAAATCAAGATATGTTCATATGATTTTCAAGTGGTAATATTTGCAAGATAAAATTAGTGTAGCTTATATTAAAATATAATTATCTGATATTTATAAAATAAAATTATAATTAGATATAGACTTACAACTAAGATTTGTATAGGATACGACCAGCTGGAACTATTATCTAATTTAACATATATTTAATGCAGACTAAGTTTAATTATGCAATAAATCAAAGTTAGTAAAAACAATATTGATATGTTATTAATCATATGAAAGAAATACTTACTAGATAGCGACAGACAATTTAAAAAAACCTGCTCACAGAATCAAAAAAAAAAATCAATAAATGCAGATAAATAACTAAAACTCTTATGTGAAGCTTATATAATGATATGCGACATTCAAAAACTACTTGAGGACTTAAAAGAATTAGTCTAAAAAGCATTACTAAGTGTTTATAATGTTCTGGACTATGCAACATTTCTTAATAATATACCTGTATAGAATAGTTGTATATTAGTATATTTTAACGTTTTTAATCTGCTATGAGTATTATGAAATCGTGAGACTTACTGAACAAAAATTAAATTATAAAGCTCATTTTAAATATTCAAACTACAAAATTAAAATTATTGTACACTTCTAGGCAGAATATATATTATTGTTATATGAAATTAGCCCTGTGAATATATTAGCTGATATATTAATTAAAAGAAAGTAGCACAAATTGTTTTTAATGTCAACCTAATTCTGTTTTCAATAATATTGAAGCATCACCAATTTTACAGTAGCATATTCTTGATAAGCAGAAATTAGTTTACTATAGAGGCTTCTCTCAACCTAAGAGATCAGCTGATTTCTGCTATACCCTAATGAATTCTTTATAAATTAATCCTTTACAACTATAATTAAACCCTACAAAAATTGTAAGTCCTGTAGCATTATTTAGACTCAATTTTTAAAATTTATATGAACCTAATATACATTAATATTAATTACCTACTATTTTTAAAATTTAGATGAACCAATATACATTAAACTAACCAATAAAATTGTAGTATTATTTTTTTTTAAAAAAAAAATCTCTCTACAGCTATTTTATGCACAAATTGGTATGGTCTTATAAGTAGTATTTTGATTCATAATCAGATCTGAATTGATCCTTAAATCTAAATAAATTTAGCTATCCAAATCAGAGATGTTTACTCAGATTAGTTAAAGAACTTAAATAATGGACCTAAGGATGCACCCAAAAGTTAGCTTTAATATATAATCTAAGACAGATTCAATTCGGATTTAATATAACTGTCAGAAATAGGATCAAAACACTACTTATAAAACAGATAAAAAAATCCTAAAAGGTATTTAGTTAATTAGTTTTATTTACATTAGTGGATTCTTCATAATAAGTAAATGCCTTATATTTTCGTAGTAATGACCAAGCCCATTTATTCTACTAATACTATTTATACCAACAGACTTTTATAATAAATGAGTGTCTTATTAATAGTCTTTTCTAATCCTCATACTAGTATAAAAGTCACTGAAAGTCTATAACATTATTAGAGTCTTTTAAATTTGACTAGCTCCTATTTTGGTAAACAACGCAAGTCTAATATTAATACCTAAACATTGAAGTATAATTAAATATTACTAACTTTTTGTGACTATTAAATAATGTAGTTAAGGTATGAGATTATAAAGGTTTCATTTGCAATGCTAGTATAAAAGATAAATAGTCAAAGTTTTATTACAAATAGAATTAATAACGGATAAATAAAATAGATCTAAAGGTGAGAATCTTTTGAATCTCACCTTTATAATACTGACTTAAACTAATTCAAGTGATCAAATTAAGAGTCTTCTCGACTATTATGATTTATTCAAAAACATAACATATAGAGTCAGATAAAAATTTTGAAAGACAAGATACAATAATAATAAACGTGAATACTCAACCAACTTTATATAGAAATATCTTATCCTTATTTTATAAAGATTCCATACATATATGTAATGAAAACTGAATCAAGTTGGTTATAATTGAAAAGTATTCTACTTAGTTGATTAATCTTTAAAATACTATATAAGCTGCTAGTATATAACTTTTGCCTATAAAACTTCAAGTGCAATGTAATATAAACTCTGAAAATTTACCTAATTCATTTAGCAACTCATATTAATTTTGCAAAGTAAATTTTTATTTTGATAAAAATAAATATAATAACTAAAGTTTAAAATCAGACTCTAGATTAAGATAGTAATTGTAATTCATTAAATAGAGAGTTTAAATCCTATTTTAATTCAGTATCTACTGCTGGATAAATAATATTCCCAATTACTGAAGTAGTATCCTCCTCATCTATATTAGTAAATTCTTCAACCTCATTCGTCGATATTACTACCCATATGTCTAAAAATTAGCTGAACTCTGCTTCTAAAGATTCTGAATCCAAAATTTTATCATTATTATTTTTATCTGAGACAAGATCCACAGTTTCTTCAGGTTCTGGATCTGAATTAATTTTACTCGATTCTTCACTAGATTCTTCATTGAATTCTTCATAGTTAATAATTTGATCTTCTAGAAAACTATGTGAAAATATTTTAATAGAATCTAGTTAGCGCGAATGTTTAAATATAATAGCTGCTCTTAGTTTACACATGTCAAGAGCTTTCGATGACTAAAATAAAATTTTATTAACAAGAATTCATATAAGGCTATATAAAGTTAATTTTTGGCAACTTGACTTTTAATTTATTTTAAAAAATATTATATAGTATATATATATAAATAAATATATATATAAATATAAAATTTTTTAAATATATCAAATTTTTTTTAAACATACATATTAGAAATAGGGAGAGAGAAAGTATAAAGATAGGAACACACAACATCAATAGGATAAAAGGAGATAACATGAAAGTAGAATAGCTAGCAGAGTTTAGTAAGTCTGAAAGGTATAATATAATTAGGATTATTAAAACTAACATAGGAGAACCAGAAGGCAAATAGATAAATACAAGAGATTATGGATACTTAAGCTTTTGAACTGAATCAGAAAAAAGTAAAAAAAAAAGATCAGAAATTGGATTACTAGTTGATCAAAATTGGATGAAAAATCTAGGAGCGTATAGAAAATACAGTTCATACTTGCTCAAAGCTGAATTCTATTTTAAAAGAGTAATTCTACAAGTTTGGATAGTTTATCTCTCACTGAAAAATTTAGAAGTAACAAAAAAGGTACACAAAACCTTAATGGAAGAAATCATTAAGAATAAAAAGAATACATACTACATAGTGTTAGGAGATTTCAACACAGTACTAAATGAAAAATAAGATATGAGCAGAGAAAGAAAGAGGAATGCAGATTGTGGAACAAAAATTACAAACTAGCTCAAAAATACTGACCATGTAGAAGTTTTTCGTCTCTGTAATCCAGGAATATCTAAGTATTTATGGTCAAATGGTAAAGCATCTACTAGAATAGATCATATATAGACAACACAAGATATAAAAAGCTTTATTTTAGACAGCAATATAGATAAAATGGAGACAATTACAGATAGCGATCATGGACTGATCTGAGTTAAACTAGATAGCTCGAGTTTTTTAGAAAGAAAAAAACAAAGAAACAAAAAGAGAATAAAAGAGATAAGAAGACTTTACCAATACTATAAGGCAACTGAAGAAAATTAGAATAATTATAGCCAAGAAGTAGAAAGAGTAATCAGAAATGCAAAAAAAAAGAAAAAGAAAGGAAAGAAGTAAAACAGATGAAGAAGCAGAAATAGATATTGATGAAGAGTGGAAAACAATTGCGAAGGCAATGCAGGCAGCAGCAAGCAAGTATATTCCATCAACTAAAACACAAGACTCTAAAAACCAGATAAGAAAAGAAGTGACCAAATCTTTAATATACAGTAGAGCCAAAGTTCTAGGAAGAATATACAGAAAAGGAATCAAGAATACAAGACAAGGTATAGATAATCTTGAGAGAGCAATATTAGATACGCGTATAGAACACCTAAACACAGAATACAAAATTGGTATACCACATCTGCCTGAGCTCTAGAACACACAATACTGCAATGAGATAAGAGAATGGTGGAATATATTCAAGAAAAAAGCATAAAAAGAAATTCAAGCTGAAAAAGAAAAAGAAATAAAAGAAAGAATAGAAGAGAGATTCATGCTAATATCTAGAAACCAAAAGCAAATGCTTAACAAACTTCTTGAATACCCTCATAACAAAATTGTAGTCAACAGAGTATTAGTACAGAGCAAAGATAAATTCAAGAATAAGAAACTAGTTACAGAAAGCGACGAGATTAAAAGAGAAGTAGTAAAGCATTTTGAAAGTCAATTTAGAAAAAGAAACTATCAGTTCGAACAAATAAACGATGAATAGGCAAAAATTTATGAAGAATAAAGAAGAATTGACCAAGACTGGTATACAAGTATTTTGAGCAAAGTAACTGAAGATGAATGGACAGAGGTTACTGATATGCTAAAAGAAGATACAGCATCTGATATCTCAGGAATTGGCTACAAGCTTATTAAAAAAGTAAACACAAAAATGAAAGAGTATTTTATAAAATTCATAAACTGAATAATATATGAAGGAAAGTTTTCTAAAAAGTGGAAGCTAGGACAAATATATCTAATCCCTAAAAGCACAAACTGGAAATTTAACTTGGTAAGCACTAAGCCAATAATGCTATTTGAGACGTTTAGAAAACTTGTAGTTAGAATAGTACAAAAAAGACTAAATAAAGTATTCATGAAAAAGGATATCTTAAAAGGTGCAAACTTCACAGGACTCTCCAATGAAAGTACTATAGCACCTATACATTTCCTAAATAATATTATTGAAGATGCAATCCAAAAAGAAAAAGATTTATGGATAGCATTTCAAGATATGCAGAAAGCCTTCGATTTAGTTAGCATATATACTTTAGAACTTGTGATGAGAAGAATTAAATTGCCAGAAAATCTAATTGTTTTTATCAAACAGATATTTCAAGATCACAAAATAAGAGTGATAACAGACGAAGGCTCAACTGAGTTTTTTGTAGCTAGTAATGGTATAGACCAAGGAGAAGTAATCTCACCATTAATATAGAAAATCTTTTATGACCCACTACTAGTAAGAATACAGCAACTAAGAATAGGCTATCAGATGGAACTCTAATGGCCAATAGACAATGAAAAAAGAAAATTCAAAACTGAAAAGGCTATGGTCTCAGCACTTGCTTATGCAGATAATACTACGTGAGTAGCAGAGTCCAAACTGATGCTACAAGAAATTATCCAAGTCTTAAATAGCTTCTTTATACTTAACGATATTGAAATAAACAGTGCAAAATCTGAAACAATAGCTTGAAGACTATATAAGCAAAGTACAGAAGAAGTTTTTATACAATTAGAACTCCACCTAGCCAAGTCAAAGTAAAGAGGCCAGAAGAAAATACCAGATTTCTAGGAGTCTGGATAAGTTTAAAAAAGTAAGAGAAAACTAGCATACTATATTGCAAAAAGAAGTAGACAAGATAACTTGCATTTTAAGACATAAAAAACTCTCTGCAAGCCAGATAACTTATATAAACAATATGGTACTGTTACAAATGGTATAGCCTTCTTAGTATATCACAAGTAATATAAGACATGGAAGAGGAACTCTTAATGGTATCAAAGCGGGATATTATTTCGCAAGGGTGATTCGTTAGAAAGATTATATTAAAGCAAAGAGTATTCTTTATTTAAGATACAATATCAATAATACAAGAATATCTATTAGTATCTGTGCTAAGAGAATTCCAATATTAAGGAGATTGTAAAAGACAAACCTAACTTTAACAAAAAGGAGAAAAGGCAGGGTTTTTATATCTTTTTCCTAAACGTCTTCAAACGTAGTTAAACATCTTCAAACGTAGTTAAATGTCATCAAATGTCTTCAAATGTCTTCAAATATCATCAAACATCTTCAAACGTCATCAAATGTCCTTAAGCATAGTTAAACATCAATAGGGATTTCTAAACACTAATAACTCTATAACTACTAATCTAATTTTTACAAATTATAGCTCGTTATGATCATGAGACTATTTTGATTCTAATAACGCTAGTTAAAGATATTGCTAACTTATAAGATAATTCATTTTTTTTTTATGTTATTAAGGCGGCTTACATTGCCGAAGGAATTTTATTAGAATTGCATACGGGATATACATTGAT